TAGTTAGCAATGTTGATTCACAGTAAGAAGGTTCTGGGATCGATTCCACTTCCAGACGGGCATTATCTGCGCAGAGTTTGAATGTTCTCCTCATGTCTGTGTGGGTTTCCATTGGGTGCTCCTGTTTTCCCAACATCTGAACACATGTACAACAGTCCAGGGTAAATAAATGTGTGTTTGTGTGTGTGTGACGACTCATGCACATTGGTTCAAGGCTGGAATCCGGAGAGTAAGTAAGTAATGTTTATTTATATTGCGCATTTTACAGACCAAGGTCACCCAAAGCGCTTTACAATGTTCAGAGTTCAGCTATTGTTCCAATCATTCAACACACGGTGATAACGGAAGAGAGTCGCCGAACACACTGGACCATCAGCTCCAATCAACACTATCCATTCACTCTCTCATTTACATTCAGACCTATTGAATTGGAGAGGTGTGTTAATAAAGTTTTACTCTCCCAACCAAAAAAAAATTACCCATTTCAACTGTAGCCAGCCTGTCTTATGGTTGTGACAAAAATGTGTGTATCAAATCATGGGGAAGACGTCAAAATATTGTGTTTCAGGCCAGTGTCCAGTATTATCAGTTCATCCACTCATCTCGTCCGAACTAAAATGTGCAGTCAGAGTTTTTCCCTTTCCTTGTGGATGTAAACAGCCGGGCTTTTGTGCTAGAGCAGATTTGGGGAAGAGAGAGCGAGCCGAGGCCGACTAATCAGAGGGTGCTTGGGAGAGCATTAAGACAGACGTGTGGAGGGGAAATGTGACACCTGGAAATTACACAATGTAATGGAATCAGCCAAGTGGTAAATGTAGCTTTTAAATAGGTTTTGTGTTCTCCATTAACTTGCAAGACACTGATTGGCTCTGAAAGCCAGGGAAAGTGACGGTCAGTGTGCGGCGGCCTTCGGAACAGACTGTCTTCACACACAACTTCAAACACAATGTACACAACTGCAGACACACACACACTTTGGCTAAATACCAAGACTATTGGGTCATACACTGGGAAATAAGATAGATTCTAATTGAACCTTATGCATCCATAGGCTCTGAGCCCATTTTCATTTTTCAATCATGTCCTGTTGAGTCTGGATTGTATTACCGTGGTGGCAAAGACACTGAGTTGTAAATTAAGTCTCACACAATAATAAAATGGTGTTATTAGTTTCTTGTGAACGCAGTCAGATAAGTCAACTAACTGAAGAAGATATAAAAGTAGAAAGTTCTTTATGATTTCTTTGTGTCTAAGGCTTAGATGGTCATTTTAGTATGACAATGGGTGTATAGAAGCCGGTACTGCTTAGTCACCGGATATGTTTCAGCAATAGACTTCAAACTGACCACACCCCCTGTCCCGCTGTGATCTCTGGAGAAGTGCGTTAAGGTACAAGCCCGCTCGTCTCTGTTCATGGTCAGTGTGCCCTTCTATATCGACAAGGGAAAAAGCAGCAAGAATATCATATGATAGACTGGGGAAATGTAAAATTAGTGAGAACGGAAGAACATGTATAGAAAAGATGGGTAAGAGAGACGATAGAAATCAGGAAGCGTGATGCACGGACCATCAACAGAGACAAAGGGGCCTATACCTTGACTCACACTTGGGAATCAGTTCACAAGAGACCACAGTGCGGCGGGGAACGTGGGCAGTGTGATGGACCTGCCCAATCACACTGGCTGACATGTCACACCATGTGTGACAAAAGTGGAACTCTATCCCCAAAAACATGTCATTATGTATAAAAAGAACCTTCAAAGCCTGCTGTAGATATAGCTCAAAACTGCAAACAATGAACTCAACATCACTACTATTTGTACTTCCAAGTACAAATAGACAAATAAACAATGGACAAACAAGTCTATAACCAACACCTTTTTCAAAAAGATAGAAATCCTGGTTTTATTCCTTGTTTAGTCATTAATGATTTGAGAATCATAACGAGACATGTTTTAGTTCAACGTGGTGAGTTCTGGCAACCCGGATCACAGACTTTCTGGTAATACGATGGGCGGGAAATGAAAACAATAACAAGATTTGTAAAACTAATTTTGGAATTAGAATATCTCTGAAATACTGTTATCTGTTTAAGAAATATTGGAAAAGAGCATGTTTTATTAATGCCATTAGCGCCATTTACTGATTACTTCACATGAGAATCTTACACATTGATACTTTAAGACATTCCTATTCACACTGCAATTCAGGTTTTAGTTCTCTATTAAAATACCAATACACAGACATGTTGAGGAATTTAAAACACATATTGTATCATGGTCTTATCCTGTTCCTAAATCCTGCCCAAAGCCATTAGTCTCGGCTGTCCTTGGTCTACATTTAATTGGAGCTAAACTGGTTGACCAGTGTGTGGGAGTGAACTGGCTGGAGGTATTCACACAGTTCACTCCAAACCCTGCAGTCCTCCCGATGCAAATGTGTTCTGAATGCTACTGTCTTGGTTATGAGAGTGTTAATGTAAAACAGCACTTTTCAAGAATAAAACAAGCTTTAAGCATTTAATACAAATCTGACCAATTTTTACAAGGTCTATATTTAGCATATCTACTAATCCATGTGTTTTTTATCCTTCAAAAGAACCATTCATTCGCAGTATCCTCCGCACTTAGCCAGCGCTGCACTAACCTAAGTCAGTGTGCATCGAAATAATGGGCCATTAGAGCAGCGTCAGTGAAGAACAGTGCGGCGCGGACAGTGTGCTGATGTTGGGAGGGTTTGAACCTGTGCGGGACACGTGGGCGAGACCGAGAGGGCGTCCAACAGTCAAACACCAATTACTGACACTACTGAGGTCTGGATGATCCCACACCACAGAGACACGGCCCAATGTTCACCACCGCCATTTTGGAGAAGATTGTTTGTTGAAAAAAACGTGATCACAATGAAAAACTAAACTATACAACTGTTTAGTATGATTCTAAAAGCATTTGGATGAATACTGGTATATATCTATTATTTGTATTCATGCATTGTACTTCATGCATTGTACACAACGGTGTTCAAGTAGTTTCCTTTTGGATCAATAGATAGTGAGAGTACATGGAATATGTTGAACACACACACACACACACACACACATACACACATACACAGTCAAACCAGGTGAACCATGGTTTTAATTATAACCCGAGTGAAAAAATCCTTGATGACAACGATCAAAAAACTTTTCCACACGCAACATATTTCATTTAACTTTTGATTTACGCAGAACCCCATAATCTGGGACACGTTCATTTATTATTTTTACTACTTTTTATATCCACTCATTCTGGTTTGATTAGCTGCATTCTAAAATGGCAGCTCTTGTTTGCTTTCATTTATCAATAATTCAGTAAGTAGGCTGATAACACATCAACTTTCACATTTGTGATGACGTGCAGTTTGGCTTCCTCTGTGTCACAGGAATACAACAGTGTTCTGCAAACGTCAACAAATCTTCGAAGTAAGCAAGTAAGTAAAGTAAGAAGGTAATCTTTTTTTTATATAGCACCTTTCGAAGACCACAGTGACAAAGCGTTTTACATTGTTGTGGGCATTAGTCTCTCGCTTCACACAGAGATGTGAGCGAGGTCATCGTAAACAAGGCACGTGTCACACCTATTGTACTTATTTGTAGTGGTAGGGGAAACTGGAGCACTGGAGGAAACCTACGCGGACACGGGGAGAACATGCAAACACCACACAGAATGGTCTGGTGTTGGAAACGAACCCAGGACCTTTTCAGGGCACAAGCACTAACTACTGCGCCACCGTGCCGCACATACCGTATACATGTACAGTGGGGCAAAAAAGTATTTAGCCAGCCACCGATTGTACAAGTTCTCCCACTTAAAATAATGACAGAGGTTACAGGTCTGTGAGAGCCAGAGATCTTCCCTGTTTGAAGTGACCAAATACTTATTTTTCACCATACTTTACAAATAAATTCTTTAAAAATCCAACAATGTGAATTCCTGGATTTTTTTTTCACATTCTGTCTCTCACAGTTGAAGTGAACCTATGATGAAAATTACAGACCTCTGTCATTATTTTAAGTGGGAGAACTTCCACAATCGGTGGCTGACTAAATACTTTTTTGCCCCCCTGTATATACTGCACATACAACAGGAAATAAATCCCTTATAATGTATCTTTCGGATGAGGATTTGTCTTGGATTCTTTATTATACATTTGCTTTCCCCTCGTTTGATCTTTAATAACCCTAACCTCATTCTCCTGACTTTGCGTTGGGTCTTTGCTTGTGAAGATTCCAGAGCAGCCAGCCTTATCTCAGAGGAGACAGATGCGATTGTCGATGGTTGACAGACACGACAATAACGGATTTAGGTTTTATCAAAGATCTGGGCACGCCTGGCGGGCTGCGTCTTCAAAGTGACAAAAGGCCAGAGTCGCAGCATGGAGCCGACGGAAAGGTGTGAGCTGCACATGAGAGCAACACAACCGCAAAGTCACACAGGAGACAAGGTGCTCTGGCTCTAAGTGGAGGTTAGACTACAGCAGCATTCACAATGACAAAACCAACTAGTTTGCAATATGTGCAGCACAAAGTGGGAATTAATGCATTTTACAGCGGAAATAAATAGCTCAGAATGATTTAGATTTACTGTAAATAACAAAGTTTACTGGCAGTAGATTGTCAGGTAAAATACAAAAACACCTAGTCTAGTTGGTGGTTAGTGGATAGCACTCTCGCCTCTCAGCAAGAAGGTCCTGGGTTCAAATCCCGGTTGGACCAGGGCCTGAGTGGAGTTTGCATGTTCTCCCTGTGTAGGTTTCCTCCGGTTACTCTGATACCACTAAAAATATGCACTGGCGCCCCTGCCCAAAAATAACAATTGTAAACTGCTTTGATCTGCAGTGAAAAGGCGGAATATAAATAAAGATTACTACAAAGTCACATCAAACGGGGTAAAATAGGTGAACCCTGCCCTGCTTAGCTTCAGAGGTCACTCAGCTGGTATGGTGGTCAGCCAGCTGGTATGGTGGTCAGCTGCTGGTATGGTGGTCAGCTGCTGGTATGGTGGTCAGCTGCTGGTATGGTGGTCAGCTGCAGGTATGGTGGTCAGCTGCAGGTATGGTGGTCAGACAGCTGGTATGGTGGTCAGCTGCTGGTATGGTGGTCAGCTGCTGGTATGGTGGTCAGCTGCTGGTATGGTGGTCAGCTGCAGGTATGGTGGTCAGCTGCAGGTATGGTGGTCAGACAGCTGGTATGGTGGTCAGCTGCTGGTATGGTGGTCAGCTGCTGGTATGGTGGTCAGACAGCTGGTATGGTGGTCAGCTGCTGGTATGGTGGTCAGACAGCTGGTATGGTGGTCAGCTGCTGGTATGGTGGTCAGCTGCAGGTATGGTGGTCAGACAGCTGGTATGGTGGTCAGACAGCTGGTATGGTGGTCAGCTGCTGGTATGGTGGTCAGCTGCTGGTATGGTGGTCAGACAGCTGGTATGGTGGTCAGCTGCAGGTATGGTGGTCAGACAGCTGGTATGGTGGTCAGCTGCTGGTATGGTGGTCAGACTGCTGGTATGGTGGTCAGCTGCTGGTATGGTGGTCAGCTGCTGGTATGGTGGTCAGCTGCAGGTATGGTGGTCAGCTGCTGGTATGGTGGTCAGACAGCTGGTATGGTGGTCAGACAGCTGGTATGGTGGTCAGCCAGCTGGTATGGTGGTCAGACAGCTGGTATGGTGGTCAGCTGCTGGTATGGTGGTCAGCTGCAGGTATGGTGGTCAGCTGCTGGTATGGTGGTCAGCTGCTGGTATGGCCACATACATTATGTACAATTAAATGAAAAGTGCTACAGAAATAAAAGTCTTTCCTATAAAACTGGTTAAATGTTTATCCCAATAAAACCTTTTGAAGCAGCCGGACTGATAACACACCGTGGCACGTTCAGCGGTGGCCAGCTTGGGTCAGCTTGGGTCAGCACTCTGTCAGTTGTCAGTGTCCCTCCTCCTCTTCTTCTTCTTCTTCCTCCTCCTCCTCCTCAGCGTTGTGTGCTTGTGTTGATGCTGAATGTGTGTGGCACTGTTTATGGCTGCTCACTTGTTTATTATTCTGCTGCTGTCAAGTTAACATCAGGTCACAGTCTTTCAGCTTAAGTAGCAGACCTCAATCCGTCCGACGTGCCGCGATGCTGACGGATGCCACAAAGCTGATCGTGCGACCGGGGTGACAGTGACGGGCGCCGCCACACGCTGCTTACGTGCACAGATCCAGAGCCAAATCAAGGTTCAAGTGATGACAACATTATAATTACACTCTGTTCGGCTGATGATGATTATATTTAGACTAACAGGAAATCAAGAATAAGGTTAGGATCATATTGAATCCAGCAAAACACTCACGCATTTCATTTTCTCTCCTAAGGCCACGCACGGCTTGCAGATTTTATCATCCATCCATCCATTTTCTTCCCCTTAATCCATTTCTGGATCAGCGATCAACTGTAGAATGTGCCACTCTTACTTCAAGAGGCAATAACATAAATGTATGAACCACAAATGTTTGTATCTCATAATTCTTCAATACTATGCAGTTAAGTAAATATACCCAGGATAATCTCAGACTTAGGAAAAAATAGAAGCCTCTCAAAAGAAATTGTATTGAACTTTGGGGACATAATTGTTACATTTAGAACATGTCGTGTTGGAGGCTTTGTGAATTAAGAATTACCAAGACAGAGAATACTATTTATTGGGTTTAAAACTTGAATCAATCTCTTATGATAGATTATACATTGAACGAAAAATTTTATTCATGAACTGCAGAAAAACTAGGCGTTTTGGAACACTTGTTGTGTATCTTCCACTGGACAAACAAGCTGGACACAAACAAGAGTGTATGAACATTTGACAGTAGCCGTTGCAGACATAACGGGACTTTTTAATGTCACTGACCCAAACATAAGTAAGTATAATCTTTATTTATATAGCGCCTTTCACAGACCAGAGTCACAAAGCAGTTTACAATTGTTAACTTGTCCTCTCACTCCACACAGAGATGGGAGTGGGGTCGCTGAACAGGAGGCGCATGCCAGACCTATTGTACATATTTTTGGTGGTAGGGGAAACCGGAGTACGCGGAGGAAACCTACGCAGACACAGGGAGAACATGCAAACTCCAGTCAGAAAGGCCCTGGTCCGACCGGGATTCGAACCCAGGATCTTCTTGCTGAGAGGCGAGAGTGCTATCCACTCTGCCACGTGCCACCCACAGCATCTCACAATGCTAGTATAGTAGAATAGATTGCGCAAGATATATTATGTACAAATTAAATTAAACTGACTATAGCAGTGCAAGTTTACAGTTCTAGTTGACCAAAACATGACTTAAACATCTGAAGCCTACATTACTCTATTGTTGTCTGATCTCTAAAGCTGCAGCTGAAATGCTTTTACACGTATAGATCCCAGATGTGTTGCTTGCATTGCGTTTGTATTTTGCAGAGTCTCTTTAATTCAGCGCAGCTCGATAGCCTGAATAAGGTTGTACTGTACACAGGAATCCTAACCTCAGTACGGCTCTGAATATTGATTGACAAGTGATAAATAATGCACGGTTCTACTGCGTAGTTGGGTTTGTTGAACTGCAGTTGAATGACGAGAAAAGCAGAAATTGTCTGTGCACTCTGTAATATTCTATGTTTTGATGATAGAATAAGGAGCCTATTTTCTGGTTGATGTAAGTAGCATTTTCATAGACATATAAGAGACATCATATCAAAGGAGAGGGCACCTATGAGTATAAAAAACTACAAAAAACAAGTGTTAAAAAGAGTGAGGAGCAGTGTCATTCTGGGAAAATCCAAATGACCTCCAATGTTTAATGATCTGGTTTTTGACTAATTTACGAGCTTTCTTCAAAATGTGGTTAAAATCTGTCCATGCACTTTGAGTAATTAACTAATTAAAAGACGGACAAAGCAAACTCCAATGAAAACATTACCACTGTAGAGGAGAAAATGATGCACTTTGACAAGAAGAATTCTTCTCGTCTGTGAGCCTTTTCAGTCCTGCACCGCAACAGCCTAAGTCCTCGTTCTAGAGCCTGAGTCCTGGATCTACAGCTTGAGACGTGGATCTACAGCCTCAGTCCTCGTTCTACAGCCTGAGTCCTGGTTCTACAGCAGCAGTCCTCGTTCTACAGCTTGAGTCCTGGATCTACAGCCTGAGTCCTCGTTCTACAGTCTGAGTCCTCGTTCTACAGCTTGAGTCCTGGATCTACAGTCTGAGTCCTCGTTCTACAGTCTGAGTCCTCGTTCTACAGCCTGAGTCCTGGATCTACATCCTCAGTCCTCGTGCTACAGCTTCAGTTCTCAATGTTTTATTTGTTATTTTATTTGTGTTGAGTTCTTTGCTGATGCAGGAGGAGAACTCAAAAAGAAGTACAGTATGATGATCTGGGACATTTCTGGACATTTAGGAAACAAAATCCATATCAATAACATTTATAGACATTAGTCATCCCACTCCCTATGGACCAACACCTCCAATGTACGTGTTTGTTATTACTGCATGATCTGTGTTCGAACTGGGTTTAGTTCTCTAATCTGCTGACAACTAGGTAAAATATCCTTGCTCAAAGAGGTCAGTGCAGGTGCCAGACTGTTGGAGAATCAGGATTTTAGTGCACATCCAGGCCTGATTTGAGGCCAGTGGAGACTTGTTTAAATATATGTAAATAACTGATATACCAATAACGTCAAAAAGAAGATTGTAGTACTACATCTCTCATTTAGATGTCTGCTCTTTCATTCAACCTGTTTCCAAAAGACAAACCTAATGCACTGTTCAGACGCATGCATAACATTACTAAAGTTAATCAATAGCCTCTGCTGCCTTTATCTCCTTGTGCCGGATCTGTAGCTGTCTGACTGCGGTGACAGGATTTCTCTGCTCGTGTCGTCCTGATGTTTTGAATGAATCGCTTCTGTCTTAAAACACAGAGAACAAGGCGTCCAAAAATAACCTGCGAGAGATGACAAGCAGCGGGGTACCTCTACTCTGCGATAAAGTCTGGAACTCGGAGCACCAGAAAAGTGGATGGTTAACCAGAGAGCACCGAGAGAAGGGGCTAATCTGACCTGGCACCAGCTGTGTGTGCAGAAGAGGTGATTGTTGATGGTAGTTACAATGGGGCGTAAACATTTTTAGTCAGACACCTTTTCTGCAAGTCCTCCCACTAACAAAGAAGAAAGATCACTGTAATTGTACTCATAAATATACCTTAACTATGAGAGACAAAATGAGTAAAAAAATTTCCAAGAAAATGTCCCGAACCAAATCACTGCTCTAGGAGAGATCAGCATGGAGGAATGGGCCAAAATACCAGAGACAGCGTGTGAAAACCTTGTGAAGACTTACATAATTGTTTTTTTATCTCATTGAGATGGGCTTTTATTATTAGTACCAGTAGAATAGTTAATAGTGGATTGTTGATTTTACAGTAGTTACAATTGGGCGTTAAAAAAAAATTAGTCAGCCACCAATTCTGCAAGTCCAAAGATAAGAAATAACTGAAATTTTAATTATAAAATGAGTAAAAAAAATATCCACAAAAATGACCCGAACTAAATAGAAAATGTTTGGAGGGAGTTGAAAGTTTGTGTTGCCCAGAAGAAATCTGCATGGAGGAATGGGCCAGAATACCACCAACAGTGTGTGAAAACCTAGTGAAGACTTACAGAACATTTTTCATCTCTATCATTGCCACCAAAGGGTATGTAACAAAGTATTGAGATGGACTTTTGTCGTGACTAAATATGTTCAACCATTTATTCATTCATTTTCTGGGTCGGGGGGTGACAATCAAAACTGCCACCCACTTCACAAAGCACCAGTCCCTCGCTGATCCTCCTGCAGGTGGTGGGTCCACAGGAAGATGGCTGCTCCTTCAATGCAGATACCGCCATGGTCTTTCAGCGGAGACTTCAGGCAAAGTGGGGTTAAGTGACATGGGTCGTGGGGGGATCGAACCCATGACTGTTAGGACCAAAGACCAATGCTCTACCAACGAGCCACTGTCATACACTTACAGTATGGATTTTTTTTAATATATAAAATGAAATGCTCACTCACTTAATTCATTCAACTGAAGTGATGAGTTGCTTTAGAATAATTTCATACTTACTCGTGCTAACTTTTGCACAACTTTGTAAACGCCCTCAGAAAAGGCCTTCAAACATAAAACTCTTCCCACAGATTCTCGTCCGTCACGTCTCGCTGTGCTCTTTATGCTGCCTCTGCCGACGCACTCCAGGCTATTGTAGAACTCATTACTTTAATTGGTAATAAACTGCAATTATTTTGCAGCTGCATACGACATTTCCAAGCAGCTACAAACACGATCCAACTCTCACAAATGAAAGAAAACCAAGCTTCCATTCTCCGCCGTCCGTCTGTAAGCCCAGTGCTTCTTTACCCAGATTATAATTACTGCTGATGGGTGAAGCTGGCTCGTCTTAAAAGTCCAATTCCCTCTCTTCCTCTTTAATACATACACGGACAACTACATTCTGTGGTTGTCCATGGCTCAATAAAAAAAAAAAAAAAAAAAAATTGAATAAATAATAAGCAGAATTGAAGACACCGGGTCGGGATCCAGGCGCTAACCTCCCCACGACATTCTCACATGCATTATTCATATTTTTACACGTGTCTTGGAGAAAGGGCTGAGGAGGGCGAATTGTGCTGATATGAGAGAAGTTGGAGAACATGTTCTGGAGCCATGTTTAGCATTTCAACAAGATGATCTCTGTAATGGAGCGTTCAGAGTAACGAGAGCCTGTGGAATGTTGAAGGGTCATATAGAAATGCATATTCAGAGGCCTGGAGAGGACAAAGTGAGAAATGGAAAGAAAAAAAATTGGCAAGACTGTTACACACAAGATTGCTTCAGTTGTGTTTGAATAGTTTATTTGCAAAAACAGATAAGTGTCCTTAAAAAACATGTGAAAGTTCAACCATTTGCCCATTTTAGTGCCATACACATACAATGGCCCCCCTTCTTTAGCAAAACCTCTTAAATTTACTACCAAGAACAAAACATGTTGATTGTAGCTAGAGGAATACAACTTTTGATCTCATTTTCAAAAAGGAGAGATCTGTTTTTTCAAATGTATTAAGTTATTTGACACACAATCAATCTCACACAACATTTACTGTAAAGGCTCCT